AAGCCAGTCATTAGAAGAGCTTATAGAATTGATGAATGGTAATATTCCAATAATAAAGAAAATATAGAATACAAAAATAATGTATATGAGGTAGGCCATAAGCAAGAAAAAAAAATAAAGAAGTATGCGGTCTTGGAAAGAACTGGAAAATTAATCAAATATTATGCTTAGCCTCCTCTAAAGAATATCTAGTAAAAATATGACATTAAGCACATAAGAAAAATCCTCCAGAGCATATAAGTTCGCCCCCCTCCATCAGATTTAACCCTTGTCCGACGATTTAGCCTCGCCAGTCAGTTCCCATCCCAGCTAAGCAGCCCCGTCTCGGGTCACCCTCATCACCCATCGAGCGGACATCCACCGGGACCCCCTACAGGCGGACCCCCCTCATCGTCTTCAATGTGTCCGATATCCCGCCCCCTCTACTGTCGAGACGTCACGGGATACGTGCACGAAGAAGTCTCGTAGCTTGGGTGCCAGGTCGTATCCGGCCGAAGCCTCTAGCGTTAGAACACCTAGCTCGTAAACCAGAGGGTGGTGACTCCCTTGGGTACCTCTGCATGCTACACAGGTCATCGATGGCCGAACATCAGGGTTAGGGGGTGACCCGGGTCTCCTCCTCTTCGGGGAGGCTAGTTATGATGCTCTGGAGTCGATGTTATTCGGGCATATTTATTGGAAAAAAATGCTAGAAAAACTAGAAGTGACTTATGTGGACGAGACAGTTTTTTTGAATAAATGGCGAATGCGCCAGGAATTAGTAGGAAATTAGATGAAAATTAGTCCTTATTCTGAGATTTTTAAGTGTGTTACTGTGTATTTAAATTATATTTAAACACAGAGAAACCAAACCAAGAGAATCCGCAAAATTATGGCAATTCATGGCATATGATCTGAAAAAAATGACATGAAAATGAATCCATCAAAACATAAATTCTGTACAAGAATGATACCATAAGAAAACTAATACAAATAAAAGAATACTTATAGAAATAGAGCCAGTGAAATATTTTATAGAATCAATAAATGATGGTATTATTCCAATAATGAAGAAAATATGGGAGTCAAGCTGTTAATAGGAAAACGAAATAAATTCTAACTAATGGTATGTTTTACCAAACAAATAAGACCTACAGAAATACAATCAAGGGAATAATGTATGGAATTGATAAATGATGACATTATTTCCACAATCAACAATATATAAAAGTCAAGCAATTATAAAGAAATGAAATTAAACCAAAAACCACATAAAGTTCTAAGTAGATGGTATTGTATCAAAAATAAAAAGCCATAAATAGGCTTAAATTAAAAATCACTGCTCTGAATTTATCTATGATAATAAGGAAACATAAAAATAGCACCCATTGGAAATTTTTCCTTACTTAAATTTAAAAATCATAAAATCTACTAATGAACATCAATAGCAAACAAATAAAAATATATTTACACAAAAGAAATAAAATTTTTAGATTTACTTATATGTCCTGATGTATTGTTCATAATATCAATTGAAAGGATAAATGTACTGCCCTGGAACTGTATACATCCATTGCGTTACTGCACAATCTCTGTAAAAAAGAAATAAATAATATTACATTTTATTAATTATGCTATAATAATTACGTTTTTTTTTGGTTTCGTATTAATATTAAATATATCTTAAAATTACGGTTAGTCTGTTAATAATCATTTAATAAATTTATTCAAATTGTTTTTAAATAATAAAATAAACTTACTTTTAATTGAGTAATGAAAAACCAATTTCGTAAACCAGAATGATAGACAAACAACAGAGGTGATTCAGGTCTTGTCTTTTAGGTGGCCTGTACATGCTGAGTGTGTATTATTAATAATACTCCTAAAAGAGATAATTGAATTAAAGCATTATAATTAAAACAATGCAAATTTGTATAAACTACGATATATATGACAACAGTATATAGTAAAAATGCTAAAAGGTTTGGTTTTATCTGAAACAATTATATAATTATTGAGCACATAGTGGGCCTCTTTAGGTATACTAACACTGACTTGTTTCCCTGTACAAATAAACACTTAAAAAATTACTCTTGGGAAAAAAAAGGACATCTCCAAACACAATCAAAAAAATGGCCAAAAAAATATCAATATTTGTAAATAGAAAGCAATATTCTTAGTAACTTTAATATTATTGTACAATAAAGACATCAAGGAATGTATCTATATTCTCATACACTCGATTTTGAAAAAGGAAATGAGGAAAATTGGAAAAATTTATAAGCTTTAAACGATGATGTAATTGAAATATTTCAAAGTGAAAAAAAACTATAAAAACAAGCAAAATAACGGGTACTTACATTTTCATGAGTTTAAGCAGGCTTACGGAACAGAATAAGCTCAAATACTGTATAAAAGAACCACTTTTTCTACCAAAAAATCACAAAAATTGTAAAGGATCTTCCAACAACGGAAAAGGTCGTCCTGTCATGATGTTTTTTTTGCTGTATAACCAATGCTGCGCCTAAAAGAAAATATTTATTCTACTGAAATAGTGTGTGTATTATATGGTTATCATGATTTTGTAACGATTCGATTCGTTTTATACTTACAAAAATAAGATTTAATTTAGATCTTCACAAAAATACAAACATACTGGCAACCATTTTAGTTTTTAGTTCAAAATCTCCTCACTTTTGACACAATGGCGCCACTAGCGTTCTTCTTCTTTTTCGAATTTTAGGCCATAGATTCGTAACCACAGAATCAAAGTATTGTTCTTCTTCTTTTCAATACTTCTGTTCCTAACTATGTGCAACCACAGATCATATACATTTTCTTCTTCTTTATTTTTCAATGGCTTGAACAGGTCAGGAACATTTGGCCAGTGTCCTGAAAAAAAATAACGATAAGGAGAGACCAAATTATAATCTTTGGATAATTAAATAAGACAAAGACAACAATATAAATAAACAAGCACAGCAATTTTAAAATTAAAATACGTTTAAAAACTTTAAATCAAATAAAACATTTTAAAATTTGGTGATCTAGATAAATATCATTGATATTTACGCACTAATTCTTCGAGATAACGAAAATCTTTTTGGTTTACAAGCCAATAAATCCAACCGTTCGATATCAAGAACACTGGAGATTTCAAGAAAAAATATACAGACTAGTTTTATTATAATTCTCTATACATTAATACTGAATTTCTGGTCAAGATTTTTACAAGAAAGAATAGAGAATTTAAAAGAGAGAGTGACTTACAAGAAAAAAGAATTTAAACAGTTTTCGTAACCACATGGATTTATCATTACATCACAAAGGCACATCCAGTAAAATGTAATCCTTGTTGTATCGAGGATATGATTGGAAATATGCTGGAGTACAATGCCCTAAAATGGAATGTTGTAAATGGATGAAAATTGCTCTCACTGATTTACACAAACAAGACACGTACAAATTCTTATAATACTTACAAAAATGTCTAGAATACACTAACAAGACATATTTTAGGCATGATTTAGTAGAAGGTACAGAGGTGACTTTACCAAATTTACAGCAAAGATTGGACCAGATTTGAGACCAAATTCAAAAAAATTCTATAGCCTAGGCCTCAAAGAAAACAAAGTCCTCCTACACTGGGTGCCTGCTCACCAAGGGATAGAAGGCAATGAAAAAGCAAATAATCTAGCTAGGAAAGGAGCGAACACTCCACTAACTGGACCAGAACCGTTCTGCTTTCCAAGTGGTAACCAACTCAAGGCGGAACTCAAGAACTTGGAAGATTCCATCCGCAACCTGGAATGGAAATCTTGCAATGGTCTAAGACACTCGAAGAAGTTTCTGAGGGCTTATGATCAAGAAAAATCACAGATCTTCCTGGGTCTGAGTAAGAACAATCTTCGGATTGTCACGGGGTTTTTAACAGGGCACTGTCTCCTCAATGAACACCTCAGTAGATTGAAACTAAGAAGAAACGGCGAATGCAGATTCTGTGGGGAAGATGGTGAAACACCAGTACACCTCATCACTGAGTGCGCCGAGACGACAACCATTCGTGCCATGAATTTTGATACGACTGATATTGGAGATGGAGAACTACCCTCTATAAAACCGTCCCAGATACTGGCTTTTGTCAAAGCCCTGGGACTGTATGATGAGTTATGATTCAAGAAAGGGGGACACAATGGATCTGTAAGGTCGAACTGATTAACCCCCCTCCCACTCATTCTAAATTCTAAAATTCTAATAGCCTAGGCCTGGTGTAGAATATAGAATTTATTTAATGCTAAGATGGTCTATAATGGCCATATATTAATATGATTATTATTTTATACTCTTTAAAAAGAAAATCATAATTAAAGAATTATATTAAGACAACTCAAATTTGTTAACTAAAATATGATGACAGTGACCGTAGGGACATTAGTTTTAATCATCTCTTCAGATGATTAAAAATGATGATGAATGATGATGCGTTCTGATGTATTGTGGTCAATTAGTGTTTTATTTTGCTCTAGGAAACCTTGTATTATTTATAGAGCCTTAATATTGCAGACGATTTAACAAATAAAACTTTGATAATTTTGAATCCTGTAATTTTTTATAACTAAAAGTGAACCAAGACATATTTCAGAAATAAATAGTTTTTAAACTGAAATTAATATTTAAATTACAGAATTTTTCTTATCTCAATTTTACTTTTACATTTTTTAAAAAATCTGTTAATTTCAATATTTTATTTTCCTAGCGCATTCGCCATTTAGTAAAATTTTGCTTTTATAATGCCCGTTTAAAAAATATCAATTAAAAATCCTTTTTTTTAAGAAAGAACCACTAAGATAACTCGTATATGACATATACAGAGTGCCCACACAACAAATTCATTAAAAATTAATTTGGAATCCATTTCAAAATATTTATTTTTTAATAAGTTGTATTTTGAAATATATTTTCTTTTTAATACATTTTAAACTTTCTGAACAAGTTGTGTGGAAAACCCCGTATTCTTTTATAAAGCTTGCGAATGATAGTTGAATAACATTTAGATAATTTTGAATCCTGTAATTTTTTATAACTAAGACATATTTCAGAAAAGATAGTTTAAAAAATATTCAATTATTATTCCGGTTGAATTAAAATATTGTTGCATAAAATATATAAAAATAAACGCATTTATATTGAAATTAATATTTAAATTACAGAATTTATCTTATCTCAATCTTACTTTTACATTTTTTTTAAAAAATCTATGAATTTCAATATTCTCTTTTCCTGGCGCATTCGCCATTTAATACACTTTTGCATTTATAATGCCCATATAAAAAATATCAATTTAAAATCCTTTTTTTAGAGAGAGAATCGCTTATATAACGGTATAAGACATACAAAGTATCCACACAACCGGTCCATTAAAAATTATTTTGGGATCCAATTTAAAATATTTATTTTCTATTAAGTTGTATTTTGAAATATATTTTCCACTTTCCGAACAGGTTGTGTGGAACACTGTTGTGTTAACACTGCAAATAATCAATAAATAAAATTTAGATAATTTTAAATTCCATAATTTTTTACCAACTAGAATTAACTAAAATATATTCTAGACGATATACTAGTTTTAAAAATATAAATATTTGAATTTTAACTTAAATTATATAAAAACATTTGCGTTTGTACGAATTATAGAATTTAAGCATTTTATCTAAATTTTACTTTAAAAAATCGTAGAATTAAAAAAATGGGATCAGTGTGATCAAAACGAAGTGTTCCTATCGCAAGTCCGCGTTCTGTTCTATATCTTCAATGGGGAATATACAGGAGGATCAAATAAGTAGGAGTACCAAAAACAGCTGCAGTTGTTACGGAACCAGTACCATAAACCTATAAACAGAAATAATTGTATAATATTGTTTCCATCGTACACACAATATTTACTAAACATCCCAGCAGAAAAGTTTTTGAACGGCCTCCAAGAAATATGATTAAAAAAAATGTTCTTCTTGTGCAATTGTGTAACATAAAAATACTAGTACTCAGCCAGAACTAAATTTTATTAATATAATTTCTTATAATAAAATAATAAGTTTAATTCAATAGCATTAAAAACATAAACCTCTGAGTACCTCATACCATTGTTTCATACCTTAAATCTACCAAAAAAAAATATAACTTACATTTTTTAAGGCGAATAGTTGCCTGAAGCCAGTCAATGTCTCAGCAAAGTAGTACCTGCATGGCACTGTTGGTACATCCCATTCTTATAAGTGTTTGTTGCAAATCACCTGCACATTGCCACAGAATATGCTTTTTAATATTGAGAAGTAATGGGAAAACCTGAAATTTTTTACTTGTTAAATTAGAAAGAAAACAATTAAATAATTTCATCAAAAATACAATATTTTTCTATATCGACAAGAGGAAAGACTTTTTTAGACAAACGCATTCTTCATAAGGTTTTGTTTGTTTTTATTTCTTTTTTGTGTTTGTTCGCATTTTGATTTCTAGGACTTTTTACAAAGAATGCATTTTACTCAAAAAGTAAATAGTAAAAAAAGTTTTTTCTCTTTATTACCAACATACTTTTACTACATATTATACTACAATACGCGTTTTTCTATGCGGTACTACCAAAAAACTCTATCGAAAAAAGAAACTTACATCTTTTAAGCGTGAAAATTGTTTCAACACAGCCAGTGTCTCAGTGTAGTAATATTTGCAGTGCCGTGTTCCCAAGTACCATTCAAATAGCTTCTTGAAGACCAAATGCAGATTTCCACAAAAACCCTGAGAAAAAAACATAAATTTTTCATCCCTAAAACAAAAAAGAAGTATTAAACATTGTTCTTTGATAAACTGTTCATAGCATTAAATTTATTTTTGTGGAGAATAGGCAACCAGTAAATCAGAACTAAAAATAACTAAATTCAAAATTAATTCATTTCCCGTGTTCTTTGTTGTTTTTTTTTTAGATTTATTTAATACTGTGATTAAACAAAACAAAGACTACGACAAGTACATTTTTTTCTATATTAATTAAAAGAAAACTTACATTTAATTCTTTGTAATGTAGTGTTAAGAAATTTAATACAAGATAGAGCCCAACTATGTCATGTTAGCCTCCATTTATCATAAATCTCTGTCTCCTGATGCGTATTCATCTTCCTGCACCTGATTTAACCCTTTGTCGAAGATTAAGCATCACCCAGCTCCTAGACATAGAGAGTGGTAACTTCCTTGGGTACCCATGTATGCTATGCAGGTCCTCGAAAGCCGAACATCAAAGTTAGATGATGATCCAGGTCTCCTCTTCTGTGGAAGAATGCAGAAAGACACCATTCTCTTGTATGATATTATTGAGTATACTAACACCGATTTATTCTAAAAAAAGTAGAACATACTTGTTTGCCTGGACAAATAAACACCGCATTACTTTAGGAATAAAAAAACATCTTTAAACTCTATTAAAAAAAAATGGCCGAAAAAAATATCAAATGTTTCAAATCTAAAGCAATATTCTGTACAATAGAGACATTTGTATCTATATTTCCATATACTCGATTTTGAAAATAGGAAAAATATATTTTTTAAAAACTTTTAATTGATGATTTCAATTGAAAAACCTATAAAAAACAGACAAAATTAATGGGTACTTACATTTTCATGAGAATATAAACAAAATACAGAAACCAGACAGAAACAAAACAAGAAAGAATCGCAAATCGCAACTTCGCAACCACAGATTCGACATAGATTTTCTTCTTCTATATTTTTAAGTGGCTTGAACTTATAGGTCATTTGGCTAGTCCACAGTCAAAAATAATTCTGACCTTCTTGACAAAATGGCGAAGGTACAAATTTAAAAAGGCATTTTTCTAAAATAAAAATCTCAATCATAACATTTAAACGCAAACAGGGTGGTTTGTTTTTTATTACACGATATTGACGATAGTTCAACAAGATACTCAAGATTCAAGAAAAAGTATTCAAACTAGTTTTATTATATCCTGTATATACTAATGCTGAATTTCTAGTTAAGACGCTTACAAGAAAAAATAGAGAATTTAAACAGTTTTCAAGAACAGACTGCTTTATCCTTACATCAAGTAAAATATAATATCTTTGTTGTATCGAGGATATGTTTGGAAATACTGGTGCACAATGACCTAAAATGGAACGTTGCTAAGGGGCGAAAAATGCTCTTACTTCTTATAGTACTTACAAAAATGTCTAGAATACACTAACAAGACATATTTTAGGTATAATAAGTTAGTAGAAGATACAGGAAGTGACTAAGAAATTTACAGCAAAGATTGGACCAGATTTGAGGCCAAATTCAAAAAAATTCTGTAGCTCGTCCTGGTATAAGACAATTTATTTAATGCTAATATGGTCTATAATGTCATATATTAATATTTCGTGTTTTTGATTGTATTTGTGTATAAGAACGGATTTAGCTCTATTAAAGCTTTTAATATTAGCTATCTTTTATCTTTCAGAAAAAATATATTTACCCGAAGCCAATAACATTTTAGATATAAGTCCTGATGCATTGGCCATACTATATATTCATGCAAAGGATAAAATGTATTGCCATGGAACTGTATACATCCATCGATTTGTTGTAGAAAATCTGTAACAAAGAAATAAATAATATTATATTTTTTTTAATTATGCTATAATAATTGTGTTTTTTTTTGAGTTTCATACTAATATTAAAGAAATTTTAAAAAATATGGCTACTTCCACTTATTTTAAAAGACGTAGAAAATACCGTATGATCGAATAAAAACGGCGTCAGCGATCATTTCATAGCCAATGAAGATCGCTGTCATTTTATATGTAAAATTATATGGGAAATGTCATCGATCGTCATTTCCAAGCCAACTGGACGCCGTTTTTTTTCGATCATACGGTACTTGTTTGCCTGAATTATGGAGGGTAGGCCCGGACAAATAAACAACCAAAATATTACGTTTGGGAATAAAAAAAAACATCCTTAAACTCTACTACGCTATAGAGATGAAAAGAGAAAAATTTCATTTATCTTAATTCTAAACATACATTATTTATATAATTTGTGTTTATGATAAAAAAAAGCGTTAGCGATATTTAAGCACAAGATGACAATAATTATATTGTAGCTATGTGCCCAGAGTACTGCAAAAATAATTTTAAATGGAACATTAACTTACAAATCAAGTTTAACGTTTTTTCTTGACGAAATGGCGAATGCGCCTATTAAAGGAAAATTTTAATACTTAGAATTTGCCCGAATTATTAAGGTAGAAGTACGATAATTAATAACTGGTTATAGATAAGTACCGTATGATCGAAAAAAAACGGCGTCCAGTTGGCTTGGAAATGACGCTGTTTTTTTCGATCATATTGTATAAGTTTCGTGTACAAAAACAAAGGTTTATATACATACATCGGAACTAGTTTAACGTAGCTTTAGAAGATATACGATTAAAATACTGAACAGAGTTGATTTGAATTTACGGTAAGTTTCCCGGAAACCTGACTCTTAAAAAAAATCCGGCGTCCCGGACTCAAAAACCCTTTAGAATTAAAATCATGAGAGCAAAGAGCAAAGCGACACGCAACGTAAAATACGAAGATATTATTTTCAATTGGTAATTTGAGCGCTTTTTCTTTTTTGAAAGGGAGAAACGGCTACTGTCAAAACATACCCTTTTTTCCACTACCATTTTTGGTTGCGAAATCGTCTTGGAAGCCAAGACGGGACCGTAGTCAACTCCGCATTTCTAAAAATCGCAATGTCAAAGGAAGATTAATATTTTCTGAAGTAAGTTGTAATTAGTTGGGACATCTATCTTAGATCGGCTGAACATGAATTAAAACTTCACAGAAGATTAGAAGATTTCTGCATTTACTATTTTAAATAATTATTAATTACCGGAAGATCGAAAAAAACGGCGTCCGGTTGGCTTGGAGATGACGATCGATGACATTCCCATATAATTTTACATATAAAAGACAGCGATGTTCATTTCGTAGCGATCGCTGACGCTGTTTTTTTCGATTATATTGTATAACTTTCGTGTACAAAAACAAAGGTTTATATATACATCGGAACTAGTTTAACGTAGCTTTAGTAGATATACGATTAAAATACTGAACAGAGTTGAGTTGATTTTACGGTGAGTTTCCCGGAAACCGGACTCTTAAAAAAAATCCGGTGTCCCGGACTCAAAAACCCTTTAGAATTAAAATCATGAGAGCAAAGAGCAAAGCGACACGCAACGTAAAATACGAAGATATTATTTTTAATTGGTAATTTGAGCGCTTTTTATTTTTTCAAAGGGAGAAACGGCTACTGTCAAAACATACCCTTTTTTCCACTACCATTTTAGGTTGCGAAATCGTCTTGGAAGCCAAGACGGGACCGTAGTCAACTCCGCATTTCTAGAAATCGCAATGTCAAAGGAAGATTTATATTTTCTGAAGTAAGTTGTAATTAGTTGGGACATCTATCTTAGATCGGTTGAACATGAATTAAAACTTCATAGTAGATTAGAAGATTTCTGCATTTACTATTATAAATAATTATTAATTACCGGAAGATCGAAAAAAACGGCGTCCAGTTGGCTTGGAGATGACGATCGATATCATTCCCATATAATTTTACATATAAAAGACAGCGATGTTCATTTCGTAGCGATCGCTGACGCTGTTTTTTTCGATTATATTGTATAACTTTCGTGTACAAAAACAAAGGTTTATATATACATCGGAACTAGTTTAACGTTGCTTTAGTAGATATACGATTAAAATACTGAACAAAGTTGAGTTGTTTTTACGGTAAGTTTCCCGGAAACCGGACTCTTAAAAAAAATCCGGCGTCCCGGACTCAAAAACCCTTTAGAATTAAAATCATGAGAGCAAAGAGCAAAGCGACACGTAACGTAAAATACGAAGATATTATTTTTAATTGGTAATTTGAGCGCTTTTTCTTTTTTGAAAGGGAGAAACGGCTACTGTCAAAACATACCCTTTTTTCCAATACCATTTTAGGTTTGAATATCGCCTTGGAAGCCAAGACGGGACCGTAGTCAACTCCGCATTTCTAAAAATCGCAATGTCAAAGGAAGATTAATATTTTCTGAAGTAAGTTGTAATTAGTTGGGACATCTATCTTAGATCGGCTGAACATGAATTAAAACTTCACAGAAACCATTTACTATTGAGTTGTTTTTACGCTTAATTTCCCGGAAACCGGATTCTTAAAAAAAATCGGGCGTCCAGGATTTCAGAAACCCTTCTGAATTAAAAATTATGTATTTAGGCAAAGTGACGTAGTAGAAAATTTAAAATGACGTTTTTTATTTACGCAGTTTTCTTGGTTGTAAAAATACTTTTTCACTGCAGATCAGTTTGAATGGATTTTTATTTTGCACAGGTTGTACAAGCTTATGATATTTCACAAATTAGCCAAATAATGTCAATTTTTAATCACATTTCTATGAATATTTGTATTGTTCTCTATTAATTATCCCACAAATATCTTGAATTTTGCCAGTACATAGTTCTAAGTTCGTCCTGAAACAAGCCCGCTCTTTTTTGGGGCTTCTGTGATGTGGGACACTGCTTAAGAAGTAGGACTTGGTTACTGTTTTAGTATTATTTCAAGCTGAACACCAGTGGCGGATACAGAGGGGGGGCCCGGGCCCCCCCTAAAGTCCCTAAATTGGGTTAAATCTTAGACTTTTGGGTTAAAAATAGCGCCCTAAAAAGTATATTCTTCATTACTTTTCATCTTCCCCACCCTAAAATAAATTCCTGTATCCGCCCCTGCCGAACACTATATTCTAACTGTGTTATAATGGGTAGATTTAATAAAACAATTTTGTACCTTTTATTGTTCTTTCTCGTTCTTCGACGATATTCGATTGGCCGATAGAAATTTAATTCGAGGTAGTTCAGAGTAAAAACCATTTTTGTATGGCTTCGAAATTTTCAGGAAAATTAAATACTTCTGAAGAAAATGGCGGATGCGCAGGATAATTACTAAAATCTTTAAAAGTAGTTTAATTTATTTTATTAGTTTGAATTCAAATAAAACTACCTAGAATTAGTCACCGCTTACAATTTTATCTTAAGAATAATCTTGGTAAACCCAATAGCTGCCGCATGACTGTGCCTCAACCTTCCATAGTTCCTCTGTATCTGACTGTTCATATTGAACACATCTTTGGTATTTTGATTTAAAAGTTACACAGGAGAACAGGATCTAGAACTAAAGAGACTAGTTTACTATCTGTATACAAATGCTTTACCTTACATTACGTTGGAATATCTAGATTATTATTATGAGAAAATCAGATCTAAGGATTCCCAGCCTCCGTTAAGATTCAGTATGTGAATTTCCTCTAGGGGAAGATTGCTTACAATTTTATCCTATAACAAAGTCGAATGGATCAAGCCAGCTGGAGAAATAAGTGCCATTTCCTCAAAGTCTAGGGGAACCTGCTGAATTTGTAATCTTCTGCAATATCAAATAACATTTTCCTAAAAACCTTGATAATGTTCAAAGAGACTTACCATTATTTCCAATATAATTTCTCATGTGAATTATTTACACAGTTTTCTTCGTTGTAAGACTATTTTTTACTTTTTACTACAGATCAGTTTGAACGTACATTTGTTTTGAACAGGTCGTACAAGCTTATTACAATATCTCACAACAGTTTTAATCACATTTCTACGAATATTTGTATCGTTCTCTAGTAATTATTCCACAAATATCTTGAATTTTGCCAGTACATAGCTCTAAGTTCATCTTGAAACAAGCGATTGGTCCTTTTTAGAACTTCTGTGATTTGGTTTGGACACTACTTACGAAGCAGGATTTGGTTATTGTTTCAGTATTATTTGAAGCTGAACACTAGAAAGGAAATACATAGTTAACATGTGGCTGGGTGTATTATAAGGCGTATATTATTTAATACAACGATTCCATACCTTTTATTGTTTTTTTTCTGGTCCTTCTACAATATTGGAAGCCAACTATTCATTATGAGAAATTGACATGTCATTTTCTAAAATTTCCAAATAATAATTTATTTCGTATGAAATACCTTACAAAACACATAAAAATCACCTTATCCTTAATTTACCTTCTATTTCGAGTATCTAGGAAGCAATAATTTAACTTTGTTCAGCAAACTAATTGGAAAAATAATTTGTGACCCCAGGCAACCAGTAATACACCTTCGGATACGTCATTGCCTTAATATCTCACCGGTCGCTTCCGACAAAAAATAAGTACTTATACAAAAAACAAAAGAATTTTATTTGGGATTCGCAGACGCGGCGTGGCGATGTAAACTCTAATCCTAACTTTCTGGCGCTTGAGGAATGCGACGTTATGGGAACTGGCCAGCCCATAATTTAGCCCTCTTGAGTTGTTGTTAGAGAATTGTTTGCAGTCGTTACGATGTCTGTCAAGGTTAGTCTTGATGCCGAGGCGCCGGTCATTTCTACCACGAAATTCCGCATTCCTAGGTACCTTCGTTTACGGGGGGGATTGTTAAGATTCGTCTAGTCGGAGAGACGACGCTTGCAATTAACCCCGTAAATGCTTGGAGTTATAAACTTGGGAATGTTTTTTGTCACTTTTTTTTCAATCATTTTGAATTTAATAAAAGCGGTAAAATTATATACCCACCTCTGGTCACGAGCTAATAAAATAAAATATTTGTCCGTTGGGCCGTACAATAGCCACCACCGAAAATCCCGGTGACAGTTCGTTTACACAAATCAGCTGTTTGTCAAAGATCTGTCACCGTGGTTGGTGAGTTGGTAAACGCATCATGATCTGTTAAAGTCAAAATTATTCCATCGCATTTTATATGTTTGTTCAGTTAATTTTACGATAACTGACGATTGAGATATTGGCATTCTGTTGAACCCGTTGGCCCCAGTTCCAGTCCGTACGCTTTGGAGTGCGCATAGATGGCTTTGGCTACCACTCCGGGGGCCGAGGGACCCCCAGAAGAAACAATTAAAGTAATTGGATGTGCCCATTACAAAAGAAAATCGAAATTCGTCGTAAGTAATCGTATTTTTGCTCTTTTTTTAGTTTCAGTGTCATATGACAGGTATATTACTTTGGGATGATAAATTTAGAGATTGAAAACAACGATTTTAAAGTGTTTTTTTTTCGATAACTACCCATTTATTTCGTGCAAATAACTCAATCTGCATGAATTTAACGCATGCTGTTCGTTACTGATTAAACTGAACAAGATAAAAGCTTTTCGAAACCCAAATGCTTGTTCTTATCTCTTCATATCTCATTTAAAATTACCAAAACACTACCAAACAATACATTTAATTTCATATTTAACACGATGTGGCAAACGTTCATGTGTCCAACGTTGAAAAGTGTTTGCCACATCGTAAGAAATAAATTTTAAATACCAACCGTCTGCATTTGTACTGCTAGCTACAGTTATTCACCACATACGACACAGATTATTATTGTAGCTAAACGATTAGATTTTTACAAATTGTAAGTTTTGGGTTCGTTGAAGGACTATTAGAGCTATAATTTAAAAAAAAAATTTACAAGATATTATACAAAAATATTATAGTTGTATTTTTTTAAATGGAACACCCTGTATATTATTCTAGTTTCAGATTCTACGAGTGAAATAAAGGGAAATTTGATTAAGGTTAATCACACTTAAACCTTACCGTTTTTGAAATATTTTCGATTTTGTGAAATTGCAGTAAAAAAATTAAGGCTTCCTTTCTCCGAGGCTATTAAAGTTTTTAATACTAAATATTTACTGAAGATTATTTATTGATCAGATATTGTGTTGCAATAATAAAAATTATATTACCTTATACAGAGTGTCCAAAAATTTATTTTAAATAATTACTATGTTTAAACGGCAATAACTTATTTAATTTAAACGCAATACCCTGTAAATTTTACGTGAATCAGATGCACAATTTAATTGTCTATCAAATTGTATTATACCATTTTTTACCGATCTCTTCAAGTTTTCGTAGAAAATGCATTTTCTTTTAATTTAGACCACATTTTAGATTTTTTTTAATGATGTAACAAATTTTCAAAAAATACAGATACGAATATTGTCGATATAGTTCGTTTATTTCATTAAAATATAAAAAGCAGTTTAAATATTTTTCGTTAAAGAGGACTAATTTTATTAATATTTAATATGATCCCAGTATTCAAACTACATCACAAAATTGAAAATATTGTTTCTCTCTACAATTTCCTGTCTCACAATGTACCGTTTGTGTCCGGCAAGGGTTCATAGTTTCATAGTTGTCGATTTTCAAAAGAAATCAGTACATGCATATTATTTAGTATATTTTTTATTTTAATGATTTTATGGAAAGCACTGTTCATTAAAATGTTGTATCCTATGTTATAGGGCTTGTTTCTCTCTACAATTTCCTGTCTCACAATGTACCGTTTGTGTCGGGGAAGGGTTCATAGTTTCATAGTTGTCGATTTCCGAAAGAAATCAATACATGTATATTATTTCGTATATTTTTCATTTTATTGATTTTATGGAAAGCACTGTTCATTAAAATGTTGTATCCTATGTTATAGGGCTTGTTTTTCTCTACAATTTCCTGTCTCACAATGTACCGTTTGTGTCCGGGAAGGGTTCATTGTTTCATAGTTGTCGATTTTCGAAAGAAATCAGTACATGTATATTATTTAGTATATTTTTTATTTTATTGATTTTATGGAAAGCACTGTTCATTAAAATGTTATATCCTATGTTATAGGCTTGTTTCTCTCTACAATTTCCTGTCTCACAATGTACCTTTTGTGTCCGGGAAGGGTTCATAGTTTCATAATTGTCGATTTTCGAAAGAAATCAGTACATGTATATTATTTCGTAAATTTTTCATTTTATTGATTTTATGGAAAGCACTGTTCATTGAAATGTTGTATCCTATGTTATAGGGCTTGTTTCTCTCTACAATTTCCTGTCTCACAATGTACCGTTTGTGTCCGGGAAGGGTTCATAGTTGTCGATTTTCGAAAGAACTCAGTACATGTATATCAAAAACGGTAAGGTTTAAGTGTGATAAACCTTAATCAAAGTTACCTTTATTTCAATCGTCGAATCTAAAAATCGAATAATATACAGGGAACTCAATCTTCAACGAACCTAAAATTTACAATTTGTAAAAATCCACTTAATCGTTTAGCCACAATACTCCGTGTCGTATGTGGTGAACAACCCTGTATATCTTTTTAGACGCCTTGTTGTAATAAAGTGTACACATGCCGCTTTTGTCACGATGAAAAAGAGAATCATACAGTCAACAGGAAAGCTGTAACGGAGTTGGTTTGTACACTGTGCAATACCCGGCAACCAGTCCAGGCGGAATGTCGAAATTGTGGTGTTAGGTTTGGCAAGTATGTCTGTTTGGAATGCAACTTGTTCGACGATGAAGAAAAGAAGCAATTTCACTGCCAGGGATGCGGTATATGCCGCATTGGGGGTGCTGAGAAGTTTTTCCACTGCGAAAAATGCAATATGTGTTTGCCAGTCCAGTTAAAAAATGGCCACAAGTGCGTGGAAAACGTCTCAAGAGCAAACTGCCCGGTATGCTTGGAGGATATTCATACTTCTCGAATTCCCTGTCACATACCGATGTGTGGGCATTTACTACACCGGACCTGTTTCGAACAGCTACTACAAGCCGGACACTACGCTTGTCCGATCTGTCAAACTTCCTTGATGGACATGAGCCAGCTGTGGAAGTACTTGGATCAGCAAGTCGATACTACCCCCATGCCGCCAGAGTACAAGGATTATATTGTTCACATTTTGTGCAAGGATTGTCACAAGGTAAAAAAATTAGGTAGAAAAGTTTTTTTAATAGTTATTTTGGTAATTATTGAGAAAACTGAAAATCGTCCGATTTTCACCAAAATTGGTATACACACTATTTCGAGGTCGTAGATTACGAATCTGAACTTTTTTCTTGGCGGTCTCTTACGTCTTTTTTTCAGAAAAGCGGAAAATTATTTCAACATTGAATTATTATACCAATTTTGGTGAAAATCTGACGATTTCCAGTTTTTCCAATAATTATCGTTATTTTTTCCCTGTATATAGGAATGTACCGTCCAGTTCCACGTGGTCGGCTTCAAATGCTGCCATTGCGGTTCGTATAACACGTGTCGCATCAAAGGGCCGATAAATCCAACTGGTAAGTGTTTTTAAAAGAAACTTTTGGCACATCCTGTATATTATACAGTGCGAGGAAGTCCAATATCGTCGCCGCTGTCTTAAGATATTATGAAAAAAGTTTCATAATATAATCAATAATAATATAATATAATAATAATATAATAAGTTTCATAAAATAATGTTTCATGGCTTACAAAGGTTGTAGAAAAAAAGGTTTTCCCAAAAAAAATATGATAGAGTTTTAGGTTTTTCTGTAGATAGTGTTGTAAATGGAAATATTGGAAATTTCCAAACGTGTCTCGGAAATATTGGAAATATTTTTAAAAATACTCAAATCTTGTCATTAGCGATTCAAACCCGATGTTTATTAATATATCTTTCATTATTTTGTAACCCTATAAACATCAAACTAAAATCTTTAAAAGAGAAATAAAATCTTTTGGAGTTTGTTGACAAAAGAGAAAATTTGCTATTAAACCCATTCATTATGCTGCAGAATTACTAAATCCAAAATCAGGTTCTGAACTTGATGAAACCCAAATTCTTTCTGCCATAGAATGCATACTTCATATATCAAAAAATAAACTCAATATAAAGGAGCAAGAAATAGTAGAAGTGGCAAGTTATTTGGAAATTACTTCATATGGAAAAGTAGTTTTGATTACCCAGTCTCCTGGTGGAAAGGATTCTGTGTTCTTCATCTTCATTATCACAAGTAGCTTCACGAATTTTGATGATGCCAGCATCTTCGGCCGCCAAGGAACGCAGTTTTATCGTTTATAGTCATATTCATTCAAAAATGAGAAACAGGCTTACTAATGATAGAGCCCCTAAGCTACTCTGTGTATCCCACAATGAAAACTTGCTGAAGAAAATAGGAAACGGCAATAGATCAGTTTCGATACTATTGAAGATTTTGAGAAAGTAGACTGGCAAGAAGATGTTATTGAGTGTGATGCTGATGACAGCGATGAAGATATGCCTCTTGCCCGACTAGTGTCTCAAAAATATTTTTTTTTTGTACAAATTTAACCTTAATTTATTTTTTAATTTGTAGAATAACTCATTTCGTGTTTTGCGATGTTTTGTTATGATTTTTATAAATAAATATTTCAGTTTTTCTTATTTTTTAAAATATTTCAATATATTTCTGGAAATTTTACATCACTATCTGTAGATCATTGGATTCAGCATAAAATTACACTATTTTTATGACACTGTTTAGCATGACAACACTGCATAGTTGTTACAATTAAAAAAAAACGTACCTTTAACTTTATCATTACTTTTTCTTGGACTCCCTGTATACAACAAAACATTTTTAGGATATGTACCTTTGTAAACCGTGTAATATTTCGAAAATTTGGGCAGCATATTCCTCAGATAAAAATAAATAAAAAAGTTCGTATAAATGTATGTCCTAAAATATGGTTAGTTTCGGAGATACAGGGTGTAGAAGTTTCGTTTTTATTTCGATTTTTTCCAAATAATTTCTGACGTAACGTCAATATTTGGATGAAAATTGGTGTCTCGGAGTTTTTTGACATGAGAAATTTGATTTTGATGTCAATATGGCTCCTACTTGTAGAGGGCGCCACCTATATATTTTTTAACTGGTTTGGAGACTGATAACTTTTCGTACGTACCTGTATAAAACTACTAAGTAAAACAATATACATTTACTACGTTTTTTACGTAAAAAAGGCCTCTTAAATGTATATTTTTTTACTCAGTAGTTTTATACAGGTACGGACGAAAAGTTATTAGTCTTCAAATCAGTTAAAACATATGTAGGTGGCGTTCTCTACAAGTAGGAGTCATATTGATATTAAAATCAAATTCCTCATGTCAAAAAAAATCCAAGACAAAAATTTTCATCGAAATACTGACGTTACTTCAGACATTATTTGGGAAAAATCGAAATAAAAACGAAACTTCTACACCCTGTATCTCCGAAACTAACCATATTTTAGGACATACATTTATACGAACTTTTTTACTTATTTTTATCTGCAGAATACGCTGCCGGAGTTTTTATCGGAACGACGATATTGGACTTGGACCTCGCTCTAATGGACCACCCTGTACATAATTTTTTCTCGTCTAGGTTTCAGGGACGGCCAAGCGGTCCAGAACGCACAAGGCGAAGGTAGTAACGCAGCTAATAATAACAATAACGTAGAAAACAATCAGGCGGATATGCCACAGCCAAACAGAAACGTGTCTGCCAAGTAACATTTAGTTATACTCTCATTAGTGACCTTTCTGTTCTGCTCTCTGGTTATTTTCATGCTCCTCATGCTCTTCAAACCCTTCGAAAATCTGATTAAGTTCTGAATCTTATGTAATTTTTATTCTCCCAGGGATGGGTAGACGTAAAAAAATCGGAATTTGTTACATTAGTAATTGTTATAAGGATTTTTTTTTCAATTTTCCTTAAAATTACAACATTTACAGCAAATTAACGTGTTTTAAGAGTTGTAAAAACGCGAATATGTAACAAAATCCGATTATCTGCCCGTCCCTGACTGGGCAGCTTGCGATAAACCGAAAATAGTTCTATAAGTTCCTCGAAAGGTGGTGTTAGTATCTCATTACATGTGTGCTTCGATGGCTATCGGGTAGATGGCGCTAGGAGGCTTTTCTGAAAGTTACCGGCGCTTTCCGCCAGGTGGTGCTAGAGTAACTTTTTGCAGAAAACCCTGTCAATTTTTACAAGTTTTATATATATTTTTATTAACTAGTGAGAGGCTAGGTTTGTTTTTATTCAATATATGTTCCTAACATTGTTATTGATTACATTTTTACACGTATTTTTATATCGTTTAAGATTATTATGTATCTATATTCTATATTATTATAGACTAGTAGTTTTTAAGGTAGTTAGGACTGTTAAAACTCTTTTAGTTGTATAAGCTTATATATGTCCCTCTAAGAATAGCTCTCGGCTGTATCGCGGAAAGTATTAGCTAAGTAAAGAGGCTATGGGAAATTGCTGGAAATTATTTTCAAGTTTGTAGAATGACCGCTAGGGGGCGCAACTGCAACAAAAAATTGGAAAGTGGAGTTTTTACACAATTTTGCCTAGATAAGGTGTACTATAAGTAGCAGGTTCATAATCTTCAGTAAATTTTGAATATTTTTTGTTAGAGCCATTTTCCCCTATCTACCAAAATAAAGTGGTGGGAGAAGGTTAGATCTGTTTTTATTTGAATATTAATAACTCTGGACTGGATGATCGGAATCCAACAAGCGAGGGCTCGTCTAAAAGAGCGTTTCTTACTCTATATTATACCATAACAATAATAATAATAAGGTTTTGAACGTAGACGCTAGGGGGCGTTGTCTTACAATTTAACAAACATTGCGCGTTTTTTCAAAAAAATTAGATGCAATAGCATATGTAATTTTAGCTGATAGTAAAGAGTAGTAAAAGCTTAAAAAGTCAGTGAAAACCGCATCTTGATATCCTCTTTCAAACCGAAGATATTAGCAAAATTATAATAAATACCAAAAAATAAGCCCTTAATTACCTTATTTTTACAACACGGTATCAGTAGCTCTCTTGATTATGCCCATTCTAACCTAAAAATAAGATAGAAACAGTTAGTTTATTTTAAAATCGACGATATACCAGAATAGCATAATACCAAATGTATTAATATCTAATAATTAAGATATTAATAATAATGAGCAAGAAACGATGATTCAGTGAAGTCATGGTAGGCTTTGGAAAAAAGTTGCTTTTGACGTAATAGTATAAACGTCAAATTGTTATTAGATCAACATTTTGATAGTCTTGACAGCGTTTTTTTTATCCTTTAAATGCTTTTTCAAAATGCCTTTATTATTTGAAGTAGTTGAAGTTGTTGGCATTTTGAAATAAACTAATAACAATTTGACGTTTATACTATTACGCGAAAAGCAACTTTTTTCCAAAGCCCACCATGACTTTACTGAATCATCGTTTCTTGTTCACTATTATTAATATCTTAATTATTAGATATTAATACATCTGGTATATTATGGTATTCTGGTATTTCGTCGATTTTAAAATAAACTAACTGTTTCTATCTTATTTTTTTGTTAGAATAGGCCTAATCAAGAGGGCTACTGATACTGTATTGTAAAAATAAGGCAATTAAGGGGTTATTTTTTGGTATTTATTATAATTTTGCTAATATCTTCGGTTTGAAAGAAGATATCAAGATACGGTTTTCGCTGACTTTTTAAGCTTTTACTACTCTTTACTATCAGCTAAAATAACATATGCTATTGCATTTAATTTTTTTGAAAAAACGCGCAATGTTTGTTAAATTGTAAGACAACGCCCCCTAGCGTCTACGTTCAAAACCTTATTATTATTATTTTTATGGTATAATATAGAGTAAGAAACGCTCTTTTAAACGAGCCCTCGTTTGTTGGATTATGATCATCCAGTCCGGAGTTATTAATATTTAAACAAAAACAGATCTAACCTTCCCCCACCACTTTATTTTAGCAGATAGGGGAAAATAGTTCTAACAAGAAAAATCCAAAATTTACTGAAGATTATGAAGCTATTATTTATAGTACCCGTTATATAGGCAAAATTCTGTAAAAAATCTATTTTCTTATTTTCGACAGCAGTTGCGCCACCTAGCGGCCGTTTTACAAACTTGAAAATAATTTCTGGCAATTTCTCATAGCAATTTCTCATTCTCATTTTTTTCCGTAGGCCCTACGGCTAATACTTTCCGAGATATATACAGCCGAGAGCTATTCTTAGCTCCGATTCTTAGTGGGACACCCGGTACATATGTGTTTCTCGATAAGTTTTTAATTTTAAGTAAAGAATAGCCAGTAGACGGTAATTTTTGGAAGATATTATAGTTTAAGGAAATATATTGGATGATTTGTTATGCGCTTGATGTCAAGTATTTTAGTTTCAGCGAAATATGTTTGTGCCAAATATTTATTAATAATAAAACCTCAGTTTAACATCGTGTTTTATTTTAATACTTTTTATTTACTTACTAAAACACCCCAGAAAATACCTAAATTTAACGATAATATTCTGCAACATCTGTAAAACGCATCAAATAATGTTTCTATTATCCAACGTAACGGATATTTAAATAATTTAAATACTACAAAAGAAAAAACCCGGCATCTTCCTGTATAACAGTACAAAATGAACTTGCAGTTCATATTAAATAAAAATCCTTTTCAATCGGGTGAAAGTAAACCATTTTCAAACTGCCCGCGCATACGTATGACAGGTTACCAGCCATTGGGTGTCGTTGCCTGTTGTCTTGTCAGTAGTGTCTAGTGCCCCAAAATGGCTGCCAGCGACGATGAGCCTATGCAACATTTGTACGAGGTTTTTACAACGTGTTTCAATAAAATAGCTAATAAGGCACCAGGTATGTTAATCGTAAATAAGTAGAGCTTAAGTTAAGTGAAAAATTTGCGACGGAGCGGGCCATTTTCCCCGCGAAACGGAACTTTGTTGATGCACACTGCCTAAGCGTGCGGGTCAAAACATTTTAAAACAGCCCGTTTAAAAAGCAAGTGAATCGGAAAAAGTGAGCATAGACGTGTTTTTCGATGAACAAGTGCGCTAAAATCCATTTTACCCCGTTGGAAAAGCTCTAATTTAATGTTATATGCGATCACAACAATGTATTTTTGGTTCAGATACCTGTGTGTCATCTCGCTGAAGAGGATCTCTTTATGACAATATTTATGGGTTTCTCATTCGAGAAATATCCGAATTACTTTGTTTTCTTGTGGTGTTTTCAGCGAAACCCTCGAAAATTTCGGGATATATGCCGGAAAAAGACGTTTAAACACGGTGGTTTGTGTTTTTGTTTATAAAATGTCAAAATAGTGCTGATAAGATTATTGGATGCTGGGAAACCATAGTAACTGAACCACCATGGAGTTCTCGATCATTTTTCATCATGGGCTTCAAATTTCATATAATATGCCTTTAAAATATTTTGTTTTGAACCCTCCAAGTTGGTGAATGCATGCTAAAATAATACAATTTTTTGTAACTAATATTTTTCGTAAAATTATTGTTTTTTAGTACTTTTTACGACAAATAATTATGAAATTTTAGAGAAGCTGATTTTTAAATTAAGTAGGTACACTTTTTAAAATTACCTACAATTTATGACCATGATTTTATTCATCGTGAGATACCTGCTGGAGCAAGGGTGTATAATATTAAATTTTATTGCTTATAAGTAATGTTTTTGATATGTATCTAGGTATTTAGAGAAGTATCAACTTATTAAATGAATATGGTAAATTTTACTATAAATTATTAAGTAGTTTATAGTTTTTCAGCACTATGAACAATTTCATTTTGAAAGATGTATGTTTTGAACTTTGTGAAGTTCAGGTTTAACGATCTCAAAAGTATACAGAGGAAGTTTACACGCATAAAAAGCTTTTTGCCTGCAGTGGCGTTCTTGCGAATATTTTCGCGGGGATGTTTTTGGTAATTTTGAAAGTTTTAGGGTCATACGAATCATAGAAATGTTGAAGTATACATATTTATTTATATTACGGTATTATTTACAATAAAGATGTAACTATATTACGGTAATTTTTGTGTTTGTCTGCGAAGGAATCATATTTTTTGTTGTTCTCTACGCAAAACAATTTGTAACATTCTTGTCCAAGAGTGTTAAAAGTCTACTAACCTCTACAAATGCCTGGGCAATACATTATTTTTATTAGATTGTATTAAAAAAAACCTCTCATTTTTCTTTTATTTTATTGGCTATTGCTTCTTTCATTATAATTTTGGCGTTATTAAAATCTATTCTGTGTCCTGTGTTCCATGAATGCTGACAAATCTTAGATTTGCGAAAATCACCCTTTCTTAAATAATCTTTGTGTTCTTTAATTTGAACATTTAAAGGTCTAGATGTTTCACCAATATAAAATTTATCACATTCACGTGGTATTTTGTATATTACATCATTTTAGTGTGGGTCAAAATTGTTCTGAGTGTATTTTGTAGGACTTTTTCGAAGAGATGAACAGAAAACATCCGCCTTTAGAACTTCATCTGTCGTGTTAAGAAAATGACAGTTAATAAAACGCCTCTCGTGTTTGTTCGTATACTAAAAATTTCCATTAATCCTGGTATATATTTTTAATATATTTTTTAAATTTACATTTTTTTAATTGTAAAGTAATATATTATATTTAAATGGGATATATTATAAAACAATTATGGGGGTATGTCAATTACAGGCTTGTTTTCTAACATTTTTTAAATAAAACGAATTATGAAGAAAATAAAATATAAAATGAACAAACGCTTACTTACATTGCAATAAAACTGCCACTTTTAGTTTTGCAATCCAAACGCAATATTTCTTTTTCGCAAATAAAAATATACCGACAACACTAAAATCACTAAAACTTCCTCGGCTGGCAACGAAACCTCAAAAATAACAGCACTTTTTGTTTTGAACCTGCATATCAAAATGACGCTGTACCATTATGTTTTTGTTTTTGAAATAATATAAATTATAATACCGTATGATCGAATAAAAACGGCGTCAACGATGGCTATGAAATGAAGATCGCTGTCATTTTATATGTAAAATTATATGGGAAATGTCATCGATCATCATTTCCAAGCTAACTGGACGCCGTTTTTTTTCGATCATACGGTAGAATTGTCTAATTAATAAAGAAAACATTTATACATTTACAAGATACAACAAAATCTAATAATATAGTTTGAAAACAATGAAAATTGAGCGCTTGTGTCAAAATTAGATGATATTTTCGCAATTTTTACACCATTTACGACCGGTGGCGCCTCTATTGGTTGTTCGCACGGTTAGTCTTTTACTCCCGTATATGGTCATTAAAGAAAAAGTTCTATGGGGGGATGTTTTGTGGAGATGAATCGACAAGGGAGGTATAGACATTTCTCGTTATTATTATTGACTTATATTTGAATTATTGACCTATTAAAGAGTCTGTTGTAAGGTTCAAGAGACCTTTTGAGGAATTTTTGTAACCAATATGAGTGTTTCCAAATTGTTGTTGTTGTTTTGGGGCATTGTCGGTTAGTAATTTTACGGAAATGAAGTGAGACTGGGTCCGGCCAATAACACAGCGACCAAAACATCATTTAACCCACAATCGTAATCGTACAACCTGCATCGTGGTTGGCCGGGAGGAACAGATGTCTTATTCGGGTCTCGGTCGGCGAATACTACTAAACACCGTTGCCACTTGATCTTTTTTGACATTTTTAATAAGAAAAATATTTTAAAATTCAATTTACAGTGCCGTGGCTGTTTTAAAACCATCAATTTTTAATAAGGGGGCTTCGGAAAAATAGATTTGATACCGAGTGTAATGTTTTTCGTGTTTTTTTCGTGTATCAACATATTTGCTTTTTTTTTTAATTTTCTCTAAAGCGGTAAAGAAATTTGAAGAAAAAGTTTGTGAGGTATCAACTTAACTTATTTTTATTCCAAAAACACGTACTTAGTAGTTCTATGTCCAGGAAATATTAAGACACACTGTATTTTTATCCTGGATATTTTCTGGAGTTAAGACAACGGAGTTATAATCACTATTGTAACTTTTACACTAAAAACAATACTAAAAAGAAAAATGTCTTCAATAAACCACATAAAATAATTAGACTAGCTTAGAACCATTTAATTTCGCAAAACAATGTATAGGAAATTTAGGATATGCGAATAGGGAGTTTTAGATCAACCTGACAACGTTGCTCTTCTCGATTTCGCCCTCTCTTCAAGATCTCCTGCGACGTTGCCGTGTTTATTTCTCACTTAACGTGACTTTTTATATGTATACCTCTTTTTTATTGTCGTTTTATCTCTTTATGTAAGGTGAAATTTATTCTACTCATCTGTCTGTGTAAAATTACCCTTTTTATTTGGGTATTTTGTTGTTTAAAAATTAACACGCGCTGTTCGACCGTTGGGTACCAATGTTGCCGCTTATTCTTTGTCGTTTTTTTCTTTCTGCTTTATTATGATGAGGTACCTCAGAGAAATAGGTAAACATAGAAGAGCACTAATATACAGGGTGGTCCGAACTGTATTCCGGAAACTTCGGCAGCATATTCTGCAGATCAAAATAAGTAAAAAAGTTCGTATGAATGTATGTCCTAAAATGCTTCGTTTCGGAGATACAGGGTGTAGCAAGTTTCATTTTTATTTTGATTTTTTCCAAATAATTTCTTAAACTTTTCTGAAGTAACGTCAATATTTGGATGAAAATTGGTGCCTGGGAGTTTTTTGACATGACAAATTTGATTTTGAAATTTATGATTTCAGTCTAATAACTATTTAGTCAAAATGTTTAATTTATGTCAATGATGAGTATTGATAATTTCGATTCAAAATATCTCGAGAACCGTTATTCGTAGCGATTTTTTCCAAGAGACCTTTTTTAAGTAAAATACGTCGTAAATGAATATTTTTTACTCGGTAATTTTATACAGGTACGGACGAAAAGTTATTACTCTTCAAAACAGTTAAAACACATGTAGGTGGCGCCCCCTACAAATAGGAGTCATATTGACATCAAAATCAAATTTTTCACGTCAAAAAACGCCCTAAACACTAACTTTCATCCAAATATTCTCGGTACTTTAGAAATTATTTGGATAAAATCGAAATAAAAATGAAAATTCTACACCCTGTATCTCCGAAACTAAGCATTTTAGGACATACATTTATACGAACTTTTGGACTTATTTTTATCTGTAGAATATGCTGCCGAAGTTTCCGGAATACACCCTGTATAATTAATACGTATAATATATTTTTCATCTAATTTATTTTAACAAAAAAAATATTCGTTTTTTTTTAGTTGTTAACAAAGTTCTTGTTCTTGTTTAAAATATCTTGTTTAATAATCGTTGTAACATTATCTAGCGTTGTTGTAACAACCTCGGTAATGGCATGTATCTAATTAATTGTTTATTTAACTTAAACGACTGACAATTTGTTTGTGTTTGGCGTAATTGCACCCATAGATTAACAATAACGAAACAGCGTCTTTTTCAATTTTCAACGTTTATTTATTCTTTTTCTTCACCATAAACAAGACCTTTTTTTTCTGTTTAAACCGAAGATGAAAAAAAGACTTTGGACTTTGATATATAAATAAATATTCTGGGTTAATTGGGACACGAAGTAGAATTTTTACTCTATTTGTACTAAAAATTAGATTTTCTGGCTGGTATAATAATGTTCAAAATTCCAAACGCACGTGCTTTGATCGAGCCTTGATTAAGGTTTGCAGAGCTTCAGCATTTGCAATAAAATAACGAGCAATTTGTTACAAAATCATATAAATTATATATCGTTGTAATCACAAAACTTCAGTCTATTTCCGTATTGTAACGGAATTTTAAATTATGGTTTTATTTTCGAGAAAATTTAGTCCAAACATACGGAATATTTTATCTTAGATAGGAACTATCGAAAACAAGAAATTGCCATCCTATCCGATAGTCAAGCAGCACTTAACGCGATCAACTCAGTAACCATCAATTCGAAGTTGGTCAAAGAATGCCTAGAGAAGCTCAACAAATTAGGCAAAGAAAATAAAGTCCTTCTACCCTAGGTGCCTGCTCACCAAGGGATAGAAGGCAATGAAAAAGGAAATGATCTAGCTAGGAAAGGAGCGAACACTCTACACTAACTGGACCGAAGAAAAAGTATTGATGATTAAATGGTATTATCAAGGAAATAGTTATCAAAAGGTGTCGGACATGTTTGTTGCTCTGTATCCGAATAGACCGATACCTGGAAAATCTACAATCGCAAGGAATATCCAGAGATTTGAGACCAAAGGTAACCTAATAAACAACTGCAGATGTGAAGCAAGGCAGGAACAAAGAGAAGATGCAAGAAATGATACCGGCTTGGAAGTTTTATTGTGCGTGAAAGAGAACGATGGAAAGATCAGCACAAGGAAACTTGAGGATGAAATAGGAATAGAACACACTACAGCGTTTCGAATTTTGAAACGACATAAATACTATTCCTTCAAATATGAAAAGCACCAAGAGCTACGAGATGGGGACGAAATACGGCGGCAGGCGTTTTGTTTTGATATGATGGAAGAGCAAACACGGATAGGGAATTTTTAAAAAAACATATGTTTCACTGACGAATGCACGTTTACGTTAAATAATGAACCCAATGTTTAAAATTATCGATATTGGAACAAAGAAAACCAACACAGGTTTGTCGAAACAAGGACGCAATATCCACGGAAAGTAAATGTTTGGGCAGGGATATTCGGACACAATATTATCGGGCCGTTATTTCTTACGCTAAATTTAAATGCAGAATATTATTTGGAACTACTCGAAAATCATATTTTACCTTCTTTATATGATGCCGCTAGGGAAAATCAGGAAGTTTGGTACCAAATGGATGGCTGCCCGGCACATAGTCCCCTGGCTGTTCGGGAATATTTAGACAATAGTTTTAACGGAAACGTTATTGGCCTAAATCATACTGTAAAATGGCCAGCAAGGTCTCCTGATATTTCGCCAAATGATTTCTTTCTCTGGGGCCATTTAAACAGGATATACAAGGATAAAAAATACCCAAATATAGACGAGTTAAAAAATGCTATTTCTGCCGAATGCAATAGAATTTCAATTTACCAACTAGCGAATGTAAGAAGAGAATTTTATGATCGCCTGGGTTATTGTCTAGCAGTCGATGGAGGAATATTTGAACATCTTCTTAAATCCTAAAGTTCTAACACATTAATAGTACCTAAATTAATTAATTAAGTTATTGAATATTGTAATAATACTCTAATTAACCTTGTAATTGATTACTTTATTTTACTTTAATTCATATTAATTTGTATTTATAAATACATCTTTAAGATTTCCGATGTAGGAATGAGTTTTCAATAATAATAAAGCATTAAATAGGTAAATTTCTGAAATGACAACTTCATTTGACAGTTATCTTTTACCTTGACGATGCTCATAAGTAAATACAGGGTCATAAGAAAGGAGAAATATTTAAAAAGAAATCGGCGATAACTCGTAAACGCGCTAATCAAAAATATCTAAAGTTATTCTTTTGAATGTGGGTTTTAGTGCTCTTCAATAAACCTAAATAGAATTATTCTCTAAAATAATTAGGGAAGCCAATAATTGACCCCATTAAAATTTACATGGGATTTCCTATGTCCCGTCCGACGATGCAACACCCGGTATAAGGTCGCGGTGATTAACTCCCCTCCTAAACATTCTACATAAAACGTTGAATGCCGAACGCTTAATTTGCTACTTTTTCGGACTGGTAAAATGGACTCTTAAGCGCTCCTCTATGTGTACTTATTTCTCTGGCCGCTCTAGGCCACCCCACACGGTCAAACGTAATTAATTTTGTCTATCTGCTTCTGTCTCCGATTGCTTGCGTTGTAAATTTACAACTAGGAAGTTAGTTAGTTGGTCAAAGTGCTGTAATGGACTGGAGTCCTTTTCTTGACCCGTCTCCTCTTCTCTGGAGCTGTCCCTGTCATCGCCCTTAAGACCGTTCCTCTAGATCGGTATAACGACGAAAGTGACGCTTCTTGTAAGTGAGTCGGCCAAGCGTGAAATCGGGACACAACGGTCGGGACATTGAACGGTTGTGGTCAAGATGTTGTTGGACGCGTGCCGTCGGCTACTGCTCGTGATGACCGATGTACCAGGGCTATGCGAAAAGCAGTCTTGGAGCCTTGGAGCCTCCGCGGCGTATGAGAGGCGCCACCCTGTACAGGGTGGGTCAAATTCGACGCTTTTAAATGGAAACACCCTTTTCTATAGGAGATAGACGAAAACTAATATCGGTGTCTGGAACTCAATTTTCATCAAAAACATGATGGTGAAAACCGCTCATCAATATCTGTTACCGTTTCGAAGTTACGGGGTGTTTTTCAAAAATGTGCATTTTTAACAAATCGCTGTAACCAAATCACCTTTTTACGTAGAATTTAATTGTTTTAGTATAATTTTTTTAAAATTAATAATTTAAGAGTTATCAACAGAAAAATTGAATTTTTATATGAAACACCCTGTATATTTTTAATTTATTGAAAAGCATTTAAAATTACCTTTCCAAAAATATAACACACTCGATATTTTGCTCGATTCCTCTTCGAGATATAGAGTATATAAAAATTCGCCCGCTTTAAATGAGTAGGCTTTGAACGGCACCGGCTGTAATGCAAAAAAAATCTAGCTGTGAGCATCAATTAAAACGAAAATAATATTTGCTATGAGAGATGCAGAATTTTATAACTATTTAAAATATATATAATCAACATCAACACATTTAAACTATATCAAATAACAAGAAAAATAAATAGCAAACCAAGACATGAGATTTTGCTACAGGCGTTCGACAAATCGACCGTCTTCTGTTATGGACAGACGGGGTAGTTTTTGAACATTTCTCGCGGAATTCATTAACTCAGTGGGGGTGAAAGATACCCTCTCATAACTGCTAAGTATTTCTAATTCTTGTCTAGATTATACGGAAGAATAAGGAACCTTTATTTTTCCGCAAATATATCGATAGGATTAGATCCATGGGCACTAAGTCGGGCGGCCTCGACGGCCAACGGCTGGAATCTTGGTTGGCTATGCAATTATTCTTGAAATTGGATGCAAAAATTTGCTGATAACTTCAGCGATCAGAGGCGGTGCGTCGTCTTGCTGGAAAAATATGTTTTCGAGTTCCATTAAGGGCATATCATCAATAAAGGGTCCAAAGCCTACTAGTTAAAAGTGGCGAACTTTTAAAAATTCTGTATTTCGAAGGGGATTATAACAAAATATCAAGTGTGCTATATTTTTGGAAAGGTAATTTTATATTCTTTTCAGTTAATTAAAAATATAGAGGGTGTCCCAAATAAAAAATCAATTTTTCTGTTGATAACTCTTAAATTACTAATTTAAAAAAAATTATACTTAAACCATTAAATTCTAGGTAAAAAGGTGCTTCGAAAATGTTTTTATAGAAATACAAAATTTTCGATAGCAAAAAAGTTACAGCGATTTGTTAAAAATGCACATTTTTGAAAAACACCCCGTAACTCCGAAACGGTAACAGATATTGATGTGCGGTTTTCACCATCATGTTTTTGATGAAAATTGAGCTCCAGACACCGATATTAGTTTTCGTCTATCTCCTATAGAAGAGGGTGTTGCCATTTAAAAGCGTCGAATTTATGCTTATTATCATGTTATATTTATGCTTCATTCTTGGTCATTTTTGTTACAGAAAAACCGGGATTTCAGTCGCCATATGCCGGAATAGACAATGGAATGGTAAGTTGGTCAAAACACAAAAAAAAACACTCTAATAAACAAATAATTAAAACTCCCTATATCAATTATTTAGAACAATTTAATGTAGCACAGCAAAAAAAATCTTTCAGGATTTAGCCGAGAACATGTATATATCCCAATTTTTTTCTCTTACTCCTAGGCCTACGCCCTGAGCCCCACAGGTCCGGTGTACTCTGGTCCTGGGGCCAGTCCTACGCAGGCCTCCGGCGAGCCCTTCGCCGCGGACAGTCCCTACTTCCCCTTCGGAGCTAGACCGGGCAGCCGCCTGTCCCCCGCCAAGGCCAAGGGGGCAGGAGGGGTGCCAGCTCCCTCTGGAGCCTTGTCCAGGGGGCCTAAGGAGGAGCCGCAGCAGCCTACGGCGGCCACGGCTTTGGATGGGCAACAATGGGCAGCGGTGGTAAGTCGAATCATGTTTTTGACTAATTTCATTATTATAAACGTCCAAAACTGTATTAAATTGTGTAATTTATATTTTACGAAAATCCCTAAAGTTGGGGAAAATTTCTTGCTCTTGGCAACACCGCCTATTTTTTTTTCGATAAATTTCATTATTTTAAACCTTTAAATCGTGTTTTTTCGCTGTTTTTTTTTACTAATTTTATTATTTTAAACGTCCGAACTGTATTAAAATTTAAGTTTTACGATATGTATTACGAAAATCCCTAAAGTTGGGGAAAATTTCTTTCTTTTGGCAACGCCGCCTATTTTTTTAATTTTTTTTTCAACAAATTTTATTATTTGAAACCATCAAATCGTGTTTTTTGTTGTTGTTTTTTTACTAATTTTATTATTTTAAACGTTCAAACTGTATTAAAGTGTATTATTTAAATTTTACGATATGTATTACGAAAATCCCTAAAGTTGGGGAAAATTTCGTTGTCTTGGCAACGCCGCCTATTTTTTTTAATTCTTTTTTTCAACAAATTTCATTATTTTGATTGTCCAAACTGTATTAAAGTGTATAATTTAAATTTGACGATATGCATTACGAAAATCCGTAAAGTTGGGGAAATTTTTTTTCTCTTGGCAACGCCGCCTATTTTTTTTATTTTTTTTTTCAACAAATTTCTTTATTTTAAACTTTCAAACTGTATTAGAGCAATAATACCTGGCTTGTGTGTTGCGTTGACGTGCAAAAAAATAGTTTTTTACAATCGCAATGAGAAATGGCATGTGTTCACGCCGATATTTGGGTTCGAAAAATACCCCGTTTTCCTAATTTATGCGATTTGTATAGTCGTTTAGGATTTTAAATCGATATTTGATAATTTCTTATGCGGAAAGGGGTTTTAATAGTATTTTTACTCGTTAATTTGTCTGTTTCAAGTAGCTAAATACTAAATAGTATACCAAATTCGATGAATTTCGACTGAGCAATGGTACAATCGACGATAATTTTGACGAGGTCTAGCTCTAGACACCATTTAATTAAAGAAAAATTCGAGAAAATTGCACAGATTTAATAACAGCGGCAATGCTCGGCCAGCTGGATTTCTTAGCAACATTTCTACTATCGAGGAATTCAAAAATTGTCGCAATGGTTGCCCGAGAAATGGATAATTCTCGAAAACGTATCGGATTCACGGCATACCTACGGGTAATTTCTGAGCATTATTATTATTATTGCGAATAATTGGTACAAAGCAAATATTTCTGTGGTTGTCTGGAGACGTTATTGCAAAAATAATGCCTCGAATAATACCCTGTCCTCCAATGCAATAAAATAGTTTTAACTAGGGATGGGATTTTGTATCGATATTTTTAATATCGATATCGATATTTTTTCTAGTATCGACATATAGGATTTAATATTAATATTTTGCCTCGATGCTTCCGAGTTTTATTTAAAGTGTTTTTTAATTTTAAAACCTTCAAAAAACTAAATGTCAGTGTCTCAAAGAGTTAAGTAGGCATAGAAGGGCTTTAATAATATATGAATAACGTTGGTTTTATTCAGCTGAAAGGTTGGTCTTAATAGTTGTCTGGGAAACATTTTTTTTAAATTGTGCAACGGAAATATAATAATAATAGATCATTTTTATGAAATGTAAATTAGGTGTCAACCAAAGAGGTTAGAAGAGAAAGAGGTAACAAATGCTCTATTTTATAATGCGCGAAGGCTGCCTGTTTTTCCGATCTGGGTTCCTTTGGTGGGGGTCACGCCAGGAGCGGATTTAGAAATTTTTAAGTGAATAATGATATACATCTAATATATAAAATTCTCGTGTCACAGTTTTTATGCGCGTGATCAATTTTGAGTGACAAGCTATGGCGACAGCGCTGCCAGATTGTGATGGATTTATGAGATGAATCTTAATTTAAAATTGACAAACAATATATTTATTATATCATTTTTTAAAGAGTATTAAGTTTTATTTTTAATTTAATAATTAATATTTTAATAATTAATTGATTTAGTTGTTTTATAGTTTATTTTACTTATTACATATTGGGGGCAAAAACTAGTCCATTAAGAAGATTATTGTAATAGTATTATTACAGTATTCAATAACTTATTAATTTAGGTACTATTAAATTGTTAGAACTTTAGGATTTAAGAAGATGTTCAAATATGCCTCCATCGACTGCTAGACAATAACCCAGGCGATCATAAAATTCTCTTCTTACATTCGCTAGTTGGTAAACTGAAATTCTATTGCATTCGGAAGAAATAGCATTTTTTAACGCGTCTAGATTTGGGTATTTTTTATCCTTGTATATCCTGTTTTTTAAATGGCCCCAGAGAAAGAAATCATTTGGCGAAATATCAGGAGACCTTGCTGGCCAATTTACTGTATGATTTAGGCCAATAACGTTTCCGTTAAAACTATTGCCTAAATATTGCCGAACAGCCAGGGTACAATGTGCCGGGCAGCCATCCATTTGGTACCAAACTTCCTGATTTTCCATAGCGGCATCATGTAAAGCAGTAAAATATGATTTTCGAGTAGTTCCAAATAATATTCTGCATTTAAATTTCGCGTAAGAAATAATGGCCCGATAATATTGTGTCCGAATATCCCTGCCCAAACATTTACTTTCTGTGGATATTGCGTCCTTGTTTCGACAAACCTGTGTTGTTTTTTTTTGTTCCAATATCGATAATTTTGAACATTGGGTTCATTATTTAAGGTAAACGTGCATTCGTCAGTGAAACATGTTTTTTTAAAATTCCCTGTCCGTGTTTGCTCTTTCCATCATATCAAAACAAAACGCCTGCCGCCGTATTTCGTCCCCATCTCGTAGCTCTTGGTGCTTTTCATATTTGAAGGAATAGTATTTATGTCGTTTCAAAATTCGAAACGCTGTAATGTGATCTATTCCTATTTCATCCTCAAATTTCCTTTTGCTGATCTTTCCATCGTTCTCTTCCACGCACAATAAACTTCTGGTTATCTTTTATTCTTAACTCTATGGTTTCATAGCGTAAACCAGTGTATAGTGGTTATTTCGCAATATCTCAAGTAGCAGCGGTTTTTTCAAAGTTTTTTCATCGATTCTAATGTATTTTGAAATCGTGACGTCAGCATAGTATTGTCGATACCCTTTTTGGTATCAACCAATGCAGCAAACGTTTTGTAGTTAGCACCAAAAAGGGGTATTATGGCATTTTAATCATTTCTATACATTTCAATTATTAAGATTTATCGTAATAAATAATATGATATATTATGATGCAATAAAATTATATATTATTGAAAATATAATCAATTACATTTTTGTCTGGTATAAGGATCGTGTTTATAGGGAATATTTTACTCTTTTTTAGTTCCCAGGAATATTTTTTTTTAAATTTCTTTGACTGTTATACATTACACTGTTGGGTTTTAATATAAAAAAAATTAAATCATCCTTACATATAAGCATCTTTATTTCAAGGTTGTTAGCGATATATCACCATAACATTCCATTCCATATATTCAGTCTCAGTAACGCGGCTTTTGTTAGTGATGTGTCGGAATATCGATATTAAAAATATCGATAGTTTGTTAGATATAATAATTTTTATAAGAATTGTTAGTAAACTATCATGTCTCAAAGGCAAATTCGTTATAATCTCATAGAAATTAGTAAACATAGAGTATGCCTATTCAATATATCGAAATATCGACACAATTTTTTTGAAATAAAATATACATCTCTAGTTATTGAATTGGCGTAGAAAATCGCATTTTCACATATAAATTCTATAGCCAATTATGTGCTTGAAATTCAGACTATGACGCCATGCAGTATTTCCTTTTGAATGAACGGAATTTGTTTATTTGAAATCGTAGTTTTGTTTATGTATTTTTTTCTTATACAGTGTGTTGTTTGTCTTTTTATTATTTTAAACGTCCAAACTGTATTAAAATTTAAATTTTACGATAAATATGTATTACAAAAATCCCTAAAGTTGGGGAAAATTTTTTTATTTTGGCAACTCCGCCTATTTTTAATTTTTTTTAAACAAATTTCATTATTTTAAACCTTCAAATCGTGTTTTTTGTTGTTTTTTTACAAATTTTATTATTTTAAAGTCCAAACTGAATTAAAGTGTATAATTTAAATTTTACGGTATGCATTACGAAAATCCCTAAGGAAAAAATTCTTGAGTTACAGTTATTTAAAAAATTGTTTATATTGTCCAAATTCTGATCTCCAGGATGTTATGAATATAGGAAATAAATTTTTCTGCATTTTAGACCAATAATTAAAACAGTTACAGGAATTTCTTTCTTATTTTACTGAGTAAACAAATTATGTAGTACTTTTAGTGAATCATCTTCGGCTGGATATTGTTTAGGAAAGCACAAGTCCGTGTTTTTATTATTATTATTGCACAGGGTTATGGGTAAAATGATGTAAACAAGTCAAGTCCCAATGTTATCGTTGAAATTGCATTTGCTGAGACGCAAAATGATTGAATTCTCTACAATTACGTTGGTGCCTTTGTGTCTGCCAGTGCTTCTTCTATACTATTGTTATTATATAAAGCAAATTTTTATGCAACATACACTGAAAAAAACTGTCACTAGAACATCAGTCATCTTGATTGTAATTTTATTGAAAAATCGCATTTTATTCAAAATCTGAGCCAGATAGGTATAGGAAACCCTAATATAGTTTGAAAGAGCATTTAAAACTGCTTCGACTTATTCAAAAAAATACTTAGTGTTGTATTTGAAATAACGAAGTTTTTATGTATAATAAATATTTAAAATAGACCAGCAAGTTTTTATACCCCTGTATAAATTTAAGGAAACAATCAAATTTTTTAGTAAAGTTTATTTCTCTGGCTTGAAAGTCTGTACAAGAATTAATTCTGAAAAGTAATGTACAAGCTGTTTGACAAACTTTTTTTATTATGGCATGAATATATTTAAATATTTTTAAATATCTCAAAAACCAAAGCTT